GTACTTTAAACTGTATAAATAATGTAAAATTAAATTGATTTAAACAGCCAATCATACGAATGTCTGCCTATGAGATGGAAATGAGTTAAAAATTCAAACTTTCAATTACATTTGTGTCTAAAGCTTTGATCGAAGTTATCTCGACGACTACTGCACCAAACCTTTTTTATTGAATTCTATAGATAGGTAGAATTCGAATAAAAAAATTTTCATCAAATTTGATGCAGTAGTCGTCGATCAAAGCTTTAGACACAAATGTAATTGAGAGCCCGAATATGGATTTTCCCTTGACGGCACTCATATATATTTGGTTTTCTATATTGATCTACACATTTACCAAAAATCTGAACAATCTAAAAAACCTGAAAAAACTAATACAGTAATAGTTTTATTATTTTTATCATGTACTGTATTTGTTTTATTTTTCTATATCAATAAAGCTATGTATTATCTGATAAATTTTTTTTCTTTTATAAGTCTTTTTATATTTTATATACAATATATAGTATAAAAAAAACAATTTTTTTTTTGAGGTTTCAAAATTTCCACTATATAAAAAAAATATTTATATGATTTTTATTAGTTTTTTAAAAATAAAAAAAAGCTAAACCAATTATCTTTCAAGCTACCTCGGTCTAGGATAAAATTGTAAACCCTAGGTCTACGTTAAGAATCCTCTATTTAGCATTCTCTAAACATTAGAATGTTTCTCATTATCTAAAATTTTAATCAATTTTAGCATCGTTTCTAATTCGTTTGACGTCGCCCTTCCATGAGCGGACCATCTTATTTTACAATTTGAATCAACTAAGAATGTGTATCCCCTATATAAATTATTCATTCCCAATGCTTCAAACAAGGTTGTATCCTTATTGAACGTAAAAATATAATTTCTCTTTTAAAAATTCAATGAATTAGTAGAGTGAGAAAGATAAACAATAAAAATTATCCATTCAAAAATTTTACATACATGAAGTGGTTCGGGAATGCTTCTCCTTAAAGATGGAATCACGAACAATTTTATAATTAAAGACTTTACAAAATTCGTCTCAATAGTCACCTACAATTATTATAAACTAATTTCGATCACCAATGTAAAAGATCGAAATCTAAGCTTAAATTTTATAATAAAAACCTTCAAAATTTGTATTTTTGCGTGACCAGAAAAATCTTTGAGAAATGGCTCAACAAATGTTTTTACATGTTCCTAGCAAGAGTATCCTTTATTAATAAAATGCAATAGGCAATGTTATCATTAAACATCACGAGTCAGCCGGATATTACGCAGTATTGTGGCGCAGCAACAAATGATGCGTAATAAACTGATTCGAAATGTTTATGATGTCGAAGACAAATACGTTTTATTACACGAATTCTAACACCCATGACTTAATAACTGTTATTTTCACAGAATTTTTACGGCAAATAAAATTTCTTTTTTTAAGATTCTTTTCTTGTTTACGTTCCTCATAAATAATTAATACCGTATACCCGCGAAATAACGCACAGGGGCGTTATTTTGAAGTTTGGCCCGAATTAAGCTTAATTTAGGCCGAAAATTGAAACTACACCCCATTTCGCGGTTATACGGTAAGCAAAATTTCTTACAATACAATCCAAGAAACCCAGCAAAGATTTAAAATCCGCCGTAACCGTGAAAATATCAAAATCATAGGTAAACAATTAGGACTGTGTAATAAATAGTACTATTCTATACTAAGTTGAACCGACAAGTACTTCTCCATATTGATTAAAGCTTATGACGACTAACGAAGTATAATTTTGGAGTAGATCTGTCGTGTCGATTTTTGGATTGGACAAGGAACGCGCCTTGATATTAGGCATGTATAATGCTTGCTACGTTTTTTTTTTTTTCTAAGTTAAAATCACAGGCTTGTTATTCCCTAAAAATATTTGTTTTGAAATAAAGAACGCGAACCTTGGCATTGACTAGTCCCGGAGCAGCTTCCCATAACTTTTCGCCAAATTTCCTTAATTCAATCAAATCTTTCCAGTATGGTGTGTTATATTCTTTTACTCTAAAAATGTGCAGTAAATCAAATGTTGTAGTTGAAGAGTAAATGCTTTTGGTAATGCTTACAATTTTTCTCTGGTCTCCCTATTTTTTTCTTTGTCAAACGCATTACTCATTCTTTGGACCCATGTTAGCCGATCAATTTGTTCATTTGATCTAGGTAGCTCTCTGACTCCTAATCTTTCAAATCTTTTTCCTAACTTAACAGCACTTTCACTCTCGATACGAGCGAACTTAGTGACAAAACGGTTTGACATCTTTTTTTTTAAAAAAAGATTAGGAACATAAGTGCATCTATCGCTATGTACCCTCGCCTAATTTGGATTGTATTACCATCGATGCCTTGATTTTATGTGCATGTTGTACATTTTCTACAGGGGGATCCCCAAATTTCCGGGTCGTAATGGCCGGAGAGTTCGACAGGGCGGCCCCCTAGGGTGTTCAACAAACTAATTAAATCAAACATTATTTAGGGCGCATATGATAAAAATTTTTGTGAAAATCCGAAAT